ATGCAGCCTTCCTTCCTTCCTTCCTTCCTTCCTTCCTTCCTTCCATGGGGACCCAAAGCAGCTTACATTGTTCTCCATTTTATCCTCACAACAACCCTGCGAGGTAGGTTAGGCTGGCCCAAGGTCACCTAGCAAGTGTCCGTGGCACGTGGGGATTCAAACCCCGGTCTCCCAGATACTACTCTGACGCTCTTAACCACCACCCCACGCATCCCAAAGTGAAGTTGGTATCCCTAGCTGAGGTAAAAGGGAATGCGGGGTACGAGTATTGTAATAAATACATAAATGTAACTTTGAGGCTCTCCCCCCCCCCCAGGTGGCAGAGCTGGAAGCCCAAAGAGACCACGATCCCTCAGGCGAGACCAAGGAGGAAGCCAGTCCGGCTCTGGAGGAACTGGAACAGTTGGTGAAAGCCAAAGACGAGGTGAGTGACAGATGGCCTCCTTGCGTGGCGGACTGGCGAACCGAGCTATGAATCAGGGAATCCCTTGGATCGGATCTTGCCTCAGACTCACTGGGACGGGTCTGTTCCAGCTCTCCCTCTCTCCTGCCTGGCCTGCCTTCGGCGTCTGCCGCTCCCCTCCTCAGAAACGGGCCTAGCCACCCTTTTACATGATCCTCGTGTCCTGCAGGGTTCGCCACAAGGACTTTGGTTCAGATACGCTTTGTAAGTTCTGTGCTCGAGGGGCCAATTTGGGTCAGGGCCCGTGTTCCCTCTAAGCTGAGTTAGCGTGAGCCAGCTCACAGTCTTTTAGCCCCTGGCTCACACATTTCTGTCTCCGCTCAGGAAGGATGGGCTCCAGAGCAAACTAATTGATGCAGGAGCCAAGTCACGCGTCTCACCGCTTTCATGCCGGTGGCTCACAAAGTAGAATTGTTGGCTCACAAGACTCCACAGCTGTGGTCAGGACGACAGCATGCATGGGGTTGCCAGCCTCCAGGTGGAACCTGGAGACATTGCAGAATTGTGGCTGATCTCCATACTGCAAAGATCCGTTCCCCTTGAGAAAATGGCTGCTTTGGAGGGTGGAGTGTATTGCAATCCACTGAGATCCCTTCCTTCTCCAACCCCACCCCCTGCCCAGGCACACCCCCCCCCCGCAAAGTCTCCAGGAATTTTCTAACCCGCAGTTATATTTATTTATATTTATTTATTTATTCGATTTGCTATCCCGCCCTAACCCCTAAGGGTCTCTGGGCGGCTTACAGAGGGTGCTAATCACATTTACAGAATCTAACCTAGGGCCACAGACATACAGGGGTGGTGACTACCCTACCAGGCACTTCCGGCTGTAGCGATTCCATTTCCGGGCCAGGACCACTCGCACTTCCGCGCATGCTCCGCTGCGGCCTCTGTCCCGATGAGGCTCCGGCCTGCTGCGTTGCTTCGCCTCCACGCCAGTTGGTCCGGCCTCCTTCGCTTGCTCGCTCCTTGCCTCGCCAGCCACCATTTTTCGCCACCGCCGTCGCCACTGCTTCGCTTCGCCGCTCGCTGCTCACCGCTGCAACACGGGGACAGGTGCCCCCCCCCGCTCTAGTAGCAGGTACCCATTAGTCTAATCGCCCCGCAGTTGAGAACCACAAGTTCTTCTGAATCACAGGTGATCTCTAGAGTGTGGAGATCATTTTCCCTGGAGGAGAGGGCAGGGCGTTATACCCCACTGAGCTTCCTCCCCTCCTCAGATTCAGCCACCTGATCTCCAGGAACCTCCCAAACCAGAGCTAGTCACCCTAAGCATGTGCAGAGAGCATTCTTAAAGCTGGCACTTCCCCCGCTGGGGAAACGTGCAGTTAACCATCAGTACGCGTCAGTTTCTCTAGCAGGGCCCTTTCCGGTTGGGGGAATGGCACCATGCCCTGTGGTGCTAATTTGAATCAGTCAATCAGGTATGCAGGGACCCGAGTTCCAATTCCGCAGCTACTCAGAAAGCAAGTCTGATCAAAAATCCTCACAGCAGACCCAAGGAGGACATGATGTGTCGCGTGTGCAGAGGCTTAGTGAGGGCAGCCGGCCGGGCAGCACAGTGGCCACCCTTTCCTCTTCTTGCGTCTGCAGCCACCAGAAGGCCCTTCTGCATCCCGCGTCTCCCTTCCCGGAGCTCCAGGGTCAGGGCTGCCAGATTTAGTTTCCTGCGGAGGAGAGAAAGCCCTTGGAGACTTTGGCTGTCTTTGTAACATTTGCTTAATTTGCAAACGTACGAGCAGAGCAGAACCGGAGTGGAAGCGAGTCAAGCCCGCCGGGACGCTTGAGCCATTCGCTCTCGCTAGAGAGGGTTGGAATGGAAGGAGGACCCGGGGACAGGCTCCTGGAGGGGAGGTTCCCAAAAAATGCCCCTCCCTCTTCTGGGGGGGTACTTGCACACACACACACACACACACACCCTGCAACCCACACTACAGATGGGTCCCCGTCTCCTGGCCAGCCCCTCTGGCTGCCTCCCCGCCTGCAGTGCACCGCTTTATCCGCAGCTGCCACAGTTTTCCCCTCTCGCATGGGTGCCAATTAAATTAACAATTTAAAGCAGAGGCTGAATTGCAGGCGGGAGCCGGCTCATTTGCATATCCCTTCCAAGAACGCTTTGCCAGCCAAAAGCTGAGCCCTAAACGGTTCCCTTTCTTTCTTGCTTGCTTGCTTTTTCTTTCTTTCTCTCCTTCTTTCTTGAAAAATCATTCTTTTCATTCTCTTTGCCTCCGTCTCCCTCCAGATGCCTGCCTGCCTTTCTTTCTTCTTTCATTCCTGTCTTGAAAAATCATTCTTTTCATTTTCTTTGCCTCAGTCACCCTCCCAGATTCCTCTCTCTCTCTCTCTCTTTCTTCTCTGTGTCTTCGTAACATGCCAAATTGGCAAGGCGGGAGAAGGGGGCCAGGACCGTTGTTTATCTGTTAATAAAGCGGTTTCATTTTGAAACTTTGGACTGAATGCTTCCGAAATCCCAGTGTGTGTGCGTGTAGTGGGGAGGGGGAGGTTCCCTGGGCTTGGCTGTCTGCCATTTTGTGAAGCGGGGTCCTCACCTGGCCACGTCAATCCGGCGCCCTTGGAGCTTCACTTTGCTTCTCTTTCCATTCCCCAATCACCCTGTGGTTCAGGAACTTCAGCAACTGAAGAGCCAGAAAGGGGGACGATGGGAAGGCAACGAAGAGAGCGAGGAAACCTTTCAGAAGGTGCAGGTAACGGAGGGGAGGGGTTGGGGGAGGGGGTTGGCGAGGAGGCCAAGGGCCGGGCCCTCTGCTCAGACAAAGGGAATTCCCCCCACCCCAGCCCCAACAAACGTCTGTTCTTCTGTTCTGGCCCTGGAGTCGCAGAAGGTGGGCTAAGCCTACCTCATCAACATCTTGGGCTGTTGAGAAGGAAATGGTCCGCTCTGCAAGGACAGACAGTCTCCCAGTCTGGAGAAGGGGAGGTGGAGGGGGGACATGAGAACAGAAGAGAAGCCAACGCTGGATCAGGCCAGTGGCCCATCTAGTCCAACACTCTGTGTCACACAGTGGCCAAAAATACCAGGTGCCATCAGGAGGTCCACCAGTGAGGCCAGGGCACTAGAAGCCCTCCCACTGTTGCCCCCACCCCCCCAAGCACCAAGAATACAGAGCATCCCTTGCCCCAGCCTGAGAGTTCCTATCTATACCTTGTGACTGATAGCCACTGATGGACCTCTGCTCTGTATGGTTATCCAGTTCCCTCTTGAAGCCGTCCGTGCTTGTAGCCACCACCACCTCCTGTGGCAGTGAATTCCATGTCTTAATTTGTGATTGGTCTCTTGGAGTATTTGAAGGGCTGTCCCTTAGAGGAGGGCAGGGAGCTGTTTCTGTTGGCAGCAGGGAATAGGACTCACAATAACGGGTTTAAATTAAGGGCAGATGTCAGCTAGCTGCCATGTTTTGCTTGCTCCCTTCTCTGACCCTGGCGCTACGGCGCACACCTCATGGCTTGCTCGCTGCTCTGCCCGCTTGCCGTAAACAGCGATAGGGAGACCATGAGAACCAGTGCTGCCAGACTGAGTTATCTGTCTGACCTTGTGACGGGGGGAGGGCTTGCGTTCCACCGCTGGTGTGAATATTTTGGCTCTCATGGGGCACTGAGACTCTCCCGCTTATTATGTAACCTCCTGCCGGGAGAATTCCCCCGCGCGCACTCGGATTTCATTTGCTTAGCCATTTGCCTCATCCTGCTATATGTAGGGATGTTTCCGCCCTTGTCATTCCTAACAATAACCCTGTGGACATGGTAACAGACCTGTAGTCTAATAAAGCATAACGCTTCCCTGGAAACGAGTGTGGGGATTTACTTGCTGTTGAACCTGACAGCGGGAAGGATCTTAGGGAAAAACTTTTTTACAGTAGCAGTAGAATCAGCTGCCCGGGGGAGGGGGGTTGAGCTCCCCCTTCCTGGCAGTCTTGAAGCAGCAGCTAGACAAACACTCGTCAGGGATGCTCTAGGCCAGGGCTGGCCAGACTTGCTGAACGGAAGAGACACATAGAAGAAATGTGAGACGTTTGAGAGCTGCGAGACATGAACAAATATTGCACACACGTTTTTATTGGGAAATGTGCACATTTGCTTTCTATTAACATTAAACGAGACTCCCAAAAATAAAAACGAAAGGGGTGAAAACAGATATTGATGATGAGATGTATTTTCCCAGTGATATTTCCTTGCTAATGTTTGGCCACCCCTGCTCTCGGCTGATCCTGCATGGAGCCGGGGGCTGGACTAGATGGCCTGTATGGCCCCTTCCAGCTCTGTGATTCTATGATATGCACACCTGGACACACCTGTTCCACTTCTCAGTCCTAAAGAGAGCATTTCAGCATCTTAAAGACAAACAGAGATTGATTGCAGCGTCGGCTTTCAGGGGCTAGAGGCCGCTTAGTCAGCTTGCTCGCTGCTCTGCCCGCTTGCCGTAAACAGCGATAGGGAGACCATGAGAACCAGTGCTGCCAGACTGAGTTATCTGTCTGACCTTGTGACGGGGGGAGGGCTTGCGTTCCACCGCTGGTGTGAATATTTTGGCTCTCATGGGGCACTGAGACTCTCCCGCTTATTATGTAACCTCCTGCCGGGAGAATTCCCCCGCGCGCACTCGGATTTCATTTGCTTAGCCATTTGCCTCATCCTGCTATATGTAGGGATGTTTCCGCCCTTGTCATTCCTAACAATAACCCTGTGGACATGGTAACAGACCTGTAGTCTAATAAAGCATAACGCTTCCCTGGAAACGAGTGTGGGGATTTACTTGCTGTTGAACCTGACAGCGGGAAGGATCTTAGGGAAAAACTTTTTTACAGTAGCAGTAGAATCAGCTGCCCGGGGGAGGGGGGTTGAGCTCCCCCTTCCTGGCAGTCTTGAAGCAGCAGCTAGACAAACACTCGTCAGGGATGCTCTAGGCCAGGGCTGGCCAGACTTGCTGAACGGAAGAGACACATAGAAGAAATGTGAGACGTTTGAGAGCTGCGAGACATGAACAAATATTGCACACACGTTTTTATTGGGAAATGTGCACATTTGCTTTCTATTAACATTAAACGAGACTCCCAAAAATAAAAACGAAAGGGGTGAAAACAGATATTGATGATGAGATGTATTTTCCCAGTGATATTTCCTTGCTAATGTTTGGCCACCCCTGCTCTCGGCTGATCCTGCATGGAGCCGGGGGCTGGACTAGATGGCCTGTATGGCCCCTTCCAGCTCTGTGATTCTATGATATGCACACCTGGACACACCTGTTCCACTTCTCAGTCCTAAAGAGAGCATTTCAGCATCTTAAAGACAAACAGAGATTGATTGCAGCGTCGGCTTTCAGGGGCTAGAGGCCGCTTAGTCAGATGCATCTACTGGAACTTCAGTGCATGCCCAGAGTGCGGATAATCTGGGAGAAACTCCTCCCCTTGCACCTGCTGGATGACCTTGGGCAAGCCATAGTTCTCTCAGAGCTGTTCTGGAAACAGAGCCGTTTCTGTCAGAGCTCTCTCAGCCCCGCCTCCCTCACAGGCAAGGTTCCCTCTAAGCCGAGCCAGTGTGAGCTACCTCACAGTTCTTTAGCCTCCGGCTCACACATTTTTGTCTTCGCTCAGGAAGGAGGGCTCCAGAGCAAACTGATTTATGCAGCGGCCAAATCGCTTTCTCACAACTTTAATGCCAGTAGCTCACAAAGTAGAATTTTTGCTCATAGGACTCCACAGCTTAGAGGGGGCATTGGTCCCAGGGTGTCTGTTGTGGGGAGGGGAGTGAGACACTGGTCCAAAGTCGCACAGTAAGTTTTTTAGCCGAGTGCGGGATTTGAACCTGGGTCTCCAAGTTCCTCGTCCGACAGTCTAACCGCACCGTCACGCTGGCTCTCTCCACATGTGATCTCTCTCCCTCTCTCTCTCTGTTGGCCAGGACCTGGAAAGACGAAACAAGGACCTGGAGCACCGCTTGCGGCTGGCCGAGCAGACGCTGTCCGAGACTCTGGCCGAGCGGGACAAGATGTACCACGAGGTGTCCAAGGTGGCTGAGATCATGGACATGAAGATCTTTGAACTGAGCGAGCTGCGGCAGGACTTAGCCAAGCTGGTGGAGAGCAACTGAGCCCCGGGGTGGCTGCGGCGGGGGGGGGGGAGCCCACCTGAGTCCGAGAGGTACCCCGACAGGATCCTCTCTCAAACCTGGGGTCCTGGTTGGGGTGTGTGTGTGGACTGGTGAGAGGCGGGCGGCTGGGGGATGCTTCGCACTGAAGCCGCACCCCTTTCTTCTCCACGAACGGTCCTTGGAGAGGCAGCTGTGGAGGAGGAGGCAGGTCCTCGACTCCAAGCTGGTTCCCTCAGCCTCGGTTTCCCTTTCGGATGCTTCCATTTCTACGGGCGAAGTGTCCTTCTTCTTCTTCTTCTTCTACCCCAGGGAGGTTCTCCCCCCAATAGTTTTGATAGAGAACTCTTCCCCTCGGCCTGCCTTTACCAGAAAACGCGCCGGCTGAGTCAGAGCGTTCCTGTCTTTCCGGGGAAAGCCATCTTTTTAATCAGGTTGCTTTTTATAGATTACTTCCCGGTGTGGCCAGACAACCCAGGCGGGAGGCCTCGGATCTCTCCATTCTGGAAGAAAAAGAGGGGGGGACTCTCTCGCTGGGTTCTTCCCCCCCACACACCCCGATTGTACGCCTTTTCTTCATAGCGAGCAGTGACTTTCTGTTTAGTGGGTTGGGCAAATCCGTTCCTGTGCTGTTGGGCCGGCGGAGAGAGGAGAGGGGGGGGGCGAAGAGGGAGGGGGGGAGGGTGTGAAGTGTGTGAAATAGGGGGGGAGCGCAACAGCTGCCAATCTGGTGGCTCGCCAGGTTGCAAGTAATTAGCACTAAATGAAGAAATTTTAACCTCTCCCTTGTTTTGTACGGAAGCGTGACTGAAAGAGGCAATGGAGTGGGGTTGGGGGTGGACAGGTATACCGATCATGGCATTCATTGCTCTTGTTGGATCTTTCACCCTCCAAAGAGCGAGGAGGAGGATGGGGGGGGGGCGCCTGGAGACCAAGCCTTGCAAGGAAGCCCTGAGAAGAGGGGGTTGAGGGGGGGAAACATGATTACTCTCTTGAAGTATCTGAAGGGCTGTCACTCCGAGGAGGGGCAGGGAGCTGTTCCTATCGGCAGCAGAGGAGAGGACTCGCAAGAATGGGTTTAAGTGAAGGGCGGGAAGGTACCGGCTGGATCTTAGGAAAAACGTTTGTGCAACAGTGGACTCAGCTGCCTAGGGAAGAAGCAGAAGAGGTTGGATTTATACCCTGCCCTTCACGACCCAAGGGAGTCTCAGAGCGACTTACAAACTCCTTTCCCTTCCCCTCCCCACAAGACATCCTGGGAGGCAGGCGGGGCTGAGAGAGCTCGGACAGAAACGGCTCTTTTTCAAGAACAGCTCTGACAGAACTACGGCTTGCCCAGGGTCATCCAGCAGGTGCAAGTGGAGGAGAGGGGAATCAAACCCAGTCCTCCCAGATTAGAGTCTATGCACCTCAACCATGACACCAAACTGGAGCTCCCCCCTCCCTGGCGGTCTTCAAGCAGCGGCCGGACAAACACTAGTCAGGGACGCTCTCGGCCAGTCCTGCGTTGAGCAGGGGGTTGGCCTGGATGGCCCCTCCCAATGCTGTGATTCTGTGATGCTATAACAGAACAGATTTTGACTCCAGTGGCACCTTTATGACCAACAAAGTTTCATTCTGGGCTGAGTGACTTGGGAATGTTCAGTCCAGAGAAGAGGAGGTGGAGGGGGGGACAGGATTGCTCTCTTGGAGGATCTGAAGGGCTGTCCCTTGGAGGAGGGCAGGGAGCGGGGAAACAGCCGCCCCTTGGGGGGGGGGGGGGGGAGCTCTCTTGAAGTATCTGAAGGGCTGTCACTTCAAGCAGCAACTGGACAAACCCTTGTCAGGGATGCTCTAGGCCAGTGATGGCGAACCTTTTAGAGACCGAGTGCCCAAACTGCGACCCAGAACCCACTTATTTATCGCAAAATGCCAACACGGCAATTGAACCTGAATACTGAGGTTTTACTTTAGAAAAAACAACTCCTACATTAACTTAAGATGATCCAGACAAAGTAAGGAAAGCAATCCCAAATGCTTTCATTTACTTAAAATTATTTGGCAGAGAATTCGACACTTTAATGACGGTCTGGGCCTGGCTGGGGCGATGGCACGCGTGCCCACAGAGAGGGCTCTGAGTGCCACCTCTGGCCCCCGTGCCATAGCTTCGCCACCACTGCTCTAGGAGGATCCTGCATTGAGCAGGGGGTTGGACTAGACGGCCCCTTCCAATTCTGTCATTCTAGACCTTGGCTGCCTCCACACAGGACCGTTCCCAAGGGTGCCCTCATTGCCTCTGTGAAAGAGCATCTGCATGGAGAGATTCTCTCGTGTTTCCCCTGAATCTCCTCCCAGACTGATCTCCACCATGCCACTGGGAAGTTTTTCTTTTTGATCGATCGTCGCTGTACCAATGGCCGAGGCTAGACTGAACTCAGATTTCGGAAGCTAAGCAGGGCTGACCCCGGTTAGCACTTGGACGGGAGACCACCGAGGAAGTCTGAGCTTGCCGCACAGAGGCACAGTTGCCGTTCACCGCCTTGGTCAGGCCGCACCCAGAGTATTGTGTGCCATTCTGGAGGCCTCACTTCAAAAAGGATGTGGACGGAACGGAGCAGCTGCAGAGGAGAGCGAGGAGGATGATCGGGGGCCTGGAGACCAAGCCCTGTGAGGAAAGGCCGAGGGACTTGGGAATGTTCAGTCTGGAGAAGAGGAGGTTGGGGGGGATAGGATTGTTCTCCTGAAGCATCTGAAGGGCTGTCACTTCGAGGAGGGCAGCGAGCTGTTCCTGTTGGCAGCAGAGGATAGGGCTCGCAAGAACGGGTTTAAATTAAGGGCTGGAAGCAATGTTCCCTCTAAACTGAGTTACTGTGAGCCAGCTCACCATTTTTTAGTCTCCGGCTCACACATTTTTGTCTTAGCCCAAGAAGGATGGCTCCAGAGCAAACTATATAGTAGGCCAATCGGTCGCTCACATCTTTAATGCCAGTCGCTCACAAAGTAGAATTTTTGCTCACAAGACTCCACAGCTTAGAGGGAGCATTGGCTGGAAGGTACCGGCTGGATCTCAGGGGAAACTTTTGTACAGTAAGGGTTGTGCAACAGTGGAATCAGCTGCCTCAGGAGGTGGTGAGCTCCCCCCTCCCTGGCAGTCTTTAAGCAAGCAGGCAGTGGCCAACCACCCCTGTTTGCCTCTTCCCCTGACCTGAATGGCCCAGGCCGGCCCAGTCTCATCAGATCTTGGAAGCTAAGCAGGGTCGTCCCGGGTTAGCACTTGGATGGGAGACCGCCAAGGAAGCCCAGGGCCTCTAAGCCAAGGCAGGTGATGGCAAAACCGTCTCTGTTCATCTCTTGCTTTGGAAACCCTACAGGTTCACCATAAAGTCCGCTGCAACTTGATGGCAGTTTCTACCACCAGCTGAATCACTGTGGTATTTTTAACATGGCCAACACTATAGCAACTGTGTGTACAGCGCTGTCGCGTCGCAGCTGGCTTGTGGCGGGCCCCATAGAATTTCCCCCCATGGCTGCCAACTCCCCACCCCCAAGGGCTTTTCTATGTTTTTAAAAATAAAGAATTGCCCGATCAGTATAGTATCAGAACGATCAATTGGGGGGCTGCGGTGGCTCAAGTGGTTAAGATGCTGAACTGTAGACCGGAAGGTCAGTAGTTCTGCAGTTCGAGACCCGAGTGCCGCATGACGGAGTGAGCTCCCGTCTCTGGCCCCAGCTCCTGCCAACCTGGCAGTTCGAAAGAAAGAAATTGCAAGTACATAAATAGGTACCACTTCAGTGGGAAGGTAACAGTGTTCCATGCGCCTCGGCGTTTAGTCATGCCGGCCACATGACCACGGACAGCACTGGCTCTTCGGCTCGGAAACAGAGATGAGCACCACCCCCTAGAGTCGGATTCGACTGGCTTTTGAGCAGGGGAAACATTTACCTTTACCTATCTCGGGCCTCTTTCCTGGCACACCTTTCCCCTTATACCTCTACAAGGAAAAGGGCTAGAACCTTTCTCATTCCTCACTGTTGTTGCAATAGACTGTTATAATGCTATAACATTATATATAGGTTGTTGCAATAGACTGTTATAATGCTATAACCATCTAGCAATTCACTTTTTTAAAAAGAAGCCCTCCAATAGATGGTGAAAATTATGGTCATGGTGGTCTGGGACAAAGATGATATAGGGACGACTGCCCCATAGACACTCAGTGGCCAGTGTGAAAGCTACAAAGAGAAACATCTGTGTGGAAGCAGCCCATGATATTAGAAGAGCAAATATGTTTCTCAGTGAGGGAACCTGGCTTCTTTTTGCACAGAGAAGTTTCAGGTTTGCTCTCTAGCAGCCCTGACTGGAAAGATTTGAGGGAAGAGTTTTCTCAGTCTGCCACGCTGGATCACCTCTACCAGCGGGCAACTTCCAGCTCCATGTACCCTTCCACAAAAGAGAAACTAAGAAGCACTTTGAGCCTTGAGTCAAGCCACAAGTTACATTTCGCATATGGCTGCCCCCTAGGACTTTTTGTCAACGACATCTCTTCTCAAGCAGATGGGTAGGGTTGCCAGCCTCCAGGTGGGGCCTGGGGATCTCCTGCTTTTACAACTGATCCCCAGCCGAAAGAGATCAGCTCCCCTGGAGAAAATGGCTGCTTTGGAGGGTGGACTAGATGGTATTGTACTGTGCTGAGGCCACTCCCTTCCCCAAACCCCGCCTTCTCCTGGCTCCACCCCCAAAGTCTCCAGGTATTTTCCAACCCAGACTTGGCAACCCTACACATGGGTCTCCAGTGTGGGTTGGGGCTTTTTGTCTTTTTCCCCGTGCCATTTTTCCCCCTACCCGAAACAACCCCAGCAGGGCACTGTTTTGCCTCAGCAGGCGCTGGATGTGTAGGCCCTGAAAGCTCTTTTAAATTCAGGGTGGGAGGTGAGCTGGAGCAATGGATTCTGGGAGTCAACATGGGGGAGAGGGGGTGTCTCTTCCCCTCTGATGTGCACACACGCACACACAGAAGTCCCTGCCAAGCTGGTGCCATGCACTCGACCCCTTTGAGCTTCAACTAGTTCCTGTGTGTATTTGGATGCTGAGATCCAAAATGGCAAATGGGGGAGATGGACTCTGTGAGGGTTCAGTGCCTTTTGTTACAGGCCAGCTCCTCACAACCTGGCTGAGTGCTACAGCAGGGATCCCCCACCGGAGCCTTTGAAATTCTGCCACAAAATGGCCGCCGTCTGAGGCGGAGCCAATCACAAAATGGCTGCCGCAGTTTACCTTCAGTCGCACAGTGAAGACCCTTTGTGCTGTGGTGGCCAAAGGATGCCGAAGGGTCGCCAGTGAAGCAGGCGCTCGGCAACAGGAGGCCGTGGAGCCTAATGTCCTCGAAGAAGGACAATCTGGCCATGACAGCAGCGGCCGTCCCCTCTTCAGAAGTGGCCCCCGGTCTGGATGTAGCTGCTGACCAACGGGGCGGTAGAGCGAAGCTCCGAATGATGGGAGGCCCATATTCAATGAGCTCCCCCCCCCCAACTGTTGCTGGGCCTTCAAATCGGATGCCCAGGGACACCAGTCCCTGCGTAGGAAGAAGAGTTGGATGTATACCCTGCCCTTCACTTGGAGTCTCAGAGCGGCTTACAATCTCCTTTCCCTTCCCCTCCCCACAAGTGACACCCTG